ATATGGGGACACCAGTGCGGTGGCATCACTCCCGGACGTAGACCCTGGTGCAGACGACGTCGTCGGCCGTCATGGTCTGCAATGAGGAGCGGGTGATGGATGGGACCCCCACCCCACACACAGAGCCCCCCCAAGGGAGTTTCCCATCATGCCCCGCGGCAGGGATGCTCACCAGGATGAGCTCCCCGTCATTGGTCAGCTCCCTGGACCAGCCCGTCCTTGGGCCCTCGCCCCGCAGCAGCCGCTGCTCACAAACCACCTTGTTCTCACTCGCCCACTTGGCCAAGCTCTGCACAGGGGAAAAGGGGACCATGGGGGGGGGACACCCCCAGATAGGGTGGGACATCCGTCAGTGGGCTGGGAGGTGGATGGGGAATGGGGATGGGGACACAGATGGGAATGTCAATGGGGATGGGGACACGGATGGGGCCTGGACGGAGATGGGGATGCACATGGAAATTGGGACACGGATGGGGATGTGAATGGGGAATGAGGATGTGAACGGAGAATGGGGATTGTGACATGGGTGGGGATGGGATTGGGGAATGGGGATGGGATTGGGGAATGGGGATGGGATTGGGGAATGGGGATGGGATTGGGGAATGGGGATGTGGACACAGATGGGGCCTGGATGAGAATGGGGACGCAGATGAAGATGGGGACATGGATGGGGCCTGGATGGAGATGGGGATGCTGATGGGAATGGGGACACGGATGGGGATGTGATTGGGGAATAGGGACACAGATGGGGATGGGGACATGGATGGGGACATTTGCTCCTGCTCCCACCAGTGTCTGGGATACCCATGGTGGTGGTGGTGGGGGCACAGGGAAGGGGGAGGATCCATCCCCCCAGACAAGAGGGAGCGTGTGGCTGCGTGTGCGCAAACACGTGTGTACACGCATGAACACGGAGGCACTCGTGTATGTATAAATGCATGTACGTGCCTCCATGTGCAAGACGTGCACACATGATGCTTGCCCACCTATGCACGTTAAGACTGCGCACCCACCCACATACGAGTGTTCCTGCCCTGCCACCACACGTGTGTGGACGCGTGTGGACGCGTGTGGACGCGTGTAGCCATGCGTGTGGATGCGTGTAGCCATGCGTGTGGATGGGTGTGGGCGCCGCACCTTGCAGGGCCGCCCGTCCACCGTCTGCTCCTCGAACTCCTGCCCGATGCTGAAGCTGATCTCCGTGGTCCTCACCGTGGTCCAGGTCTTGATGTAGAAGCTCTCCCCCTCCTGCCTGATCTCCACCGCGGGCTTGGAGGCCGCCGCCACCGCGATCTTCCTCAGCATCACGTTAACCCCTGCGGGCAAGGGGGGGGGGTCCCCGTTGATGGCGGGGGGGGCGGTTCTGGGGGTGCCTCAGGGGGACCCCACCCCGCGGAGCCACATCTGGCTCCACCACATCTGCCTCGGCCACATCTGGCTCTCGTTACCTGGCTCCGGATGCGCCCCAGGGAAGGGATGAGGGTGATGGGATGGGATGGGGGGGGGTGAAGGGGGTGCCCCAGGCCGGGGTGATGGCGGGGACACGGCCCCCGGTGACCCTATGGGGGTTCCCCCCCCCCCAACCACCACCAAAGCGCAGCTGCGGCTTTGTCCGCGCTGCCGCGGGCGCCTCATCCATCACTGCCCGCGCTGTGCCCCGGTCAGCCCCGATGCAGGGGCCCTCGGAGCGGGGCTCCCCCCCCCACAGCGATGGGGGGCGGCAGCGGTATCCTAGAGGGGGGGTTCCCCATGGCCGGGATCCTGGGGATGCTGCTGGTGCTAAAGGGGGGCAAAGCAAGGGGGGTCTGACCCACACTTGGGGGTCCCGTCCGTGATGCTGAAGGCACCCAAAGGAGCAAAGCGCCTTTATTGCGGGGGGATGCAGGCAGATGGGGGGGGGGGATGTGTGTGTGTGAATCCCCCTCTCCTCCAGCGCCTCCATCATGGGGGGCCCCGGAGCCCCCCCCCACCCCAGTCCCGCTGTGGGGCGGGAGGAGCCGCCGGTCACAAATCGCTTTCCCTGCTGCGGGTCCCCCCGGTGGGGCTGGGAGGGGGGGGGGGGGAAGGGGGAGGGGGGAAGGGGGGGAGAGGGAATGAAACCCAAGAAAGTGATAATTACCCTGAAATATTCGCTCCGGATCCCCTAACCTGGAACAAATCCGGCGCTGGGGGGGGGGGGGGGGGGGGTTGGGGCCCCCCTCACAGAGTGGGGCAGGGGGGAGCCGATTTAGGATGGGGGCACCGCACAGAGAGGGGTCCCCTTGGGTGCGATGGGGGGGAGATGGAGGTGGGGGGGTGCACACCCCCAGTGCCTCAGTTTCCCCATTGGGTTTTAGGTGGGAACAAGGGGTCCCCCCTCAATGCTGGGGGGTGGGGGGATGTGGGGCAGGACCCCCCGGGCTCGCACTCACCCAGAGCCTTCAGGAGCTCCTCGAAGTTCTCCGAGCTTTTCATCCTCCAGGTCCCGGAGAAGTTCGGCATCGCGGGGCCGGGGCTGCGCTATGGGGGGGGGACAAAGAATGGGGGGGAACGGGGGGGGGGAGCAACGAGGTAGGGACCGGAACGGGAACGGGAGGCACCGAACGCTCACGAACGGCACCAGCGACCCCGCCGCGCTCCGGTCCCGGCGCCGCCCGTTTTATTGCCGGGCAGGTCCCACCCGCTCCGCCCCCAGCCCCGGCTCCGGCCCCAAAGTGGGGGGGGGGGCTCCGCGTTCACCTGCGGGGCTCTGCAATGGGAGGGACCCCCCTTAATGTGTCCGAAACCCCCTTAAAGTGCCCGAACCCCTCCTAAAGTGTCCGAACCCCCTCAAAGTGTCCGAACCCCTCCAAAGTGTCCGAACCCCCCAAAGTGTCCGAACCTCCTTAAAGTGTCCGAACCCCCCTTAAAGTGACCGTGACCCCCTTAAAGTGTCCGAACTCCCTTAAAGTGCCCGAACCCCCCAAAGTGACCGAGCCCCCCCTAAAGTGCCAGAACCCCCCCAAAGTGTCCGACCCCCCCTTAAAGTGACCTTGCCCCCCCCTTAAAGTGCCTGCACCCCCACATTGCCCACTTCCCCCCGCACCCCTCCGGTCTCAATGCACCCCTCTAGAACCTCCCTGCACCCCCCAATGACGGCTGGGGGGCACACGCATCCCCCCCCCCCCGCCCCACGTGCAGGTGCCTGCCCCATCCGCGATGCGCGGGCACGGGGCCCCGCGTTCACGCGCGTGTGCGAGCGCGTTCGGGCTGCGGGAGGTGGGGTTTGGGGGGGGGGGGGGGTTTGGGGGTCCCACGGGGCTGGCACCGGGATCGTGGAGTTCGCGGCTCCAGGATGGAAGGAGCCAGATCCCTGCTGCTCTTTCGGGGTGAAGCTGCCCCCTCCCGGACCCACATTTCCCCCCCCCCACTCCCATTCCCGAGCCCCCCACATTCCATGGGGTGGCGCCGCTGAGGAGCCGAGTCCTGGCTTGTCGCGAGTCCCTAATCCCCTGAAGAACAGGATTCCCAACAAAGAGCGGCCGGATCCCGACCTACAGCGGCTGCTGCAGGCAATGGGGCTGGGAGAGATTGGGGGGGGCCACCCCAAGGATGTGTGTGGGGGGGTGCCCTCCCCCCCCTCCCCCCCAGGACATGGATTTGGGGGGAAAAACAGCTGGATTTGGAGAAGGGGGTGGAGGGGATGGGGTGGGAACACCCCCCCCCCGCCCCACATCTGGAAGGGATTCTGCTGGGAAGGGCGGATAAAGGCTTCGCCCCCCCTCAAATTCCTTGGAAACCGCAGAAATCCCGAGGGCAGAGCCCAATGGGGGTCACCCCCCAACTGCTCCTCATAGGGGGGACCAGAGCCGGTGTTAATCGAGCTCCTCCATGGGGCAGGACCCCCCCAACCTCACTGCGTTGAGCTGAAGGGCTCCGACAGGGGGGGGGTGAAGCCTCCTGTGCCCCCCCCCCGAGCCCTGTAAATCCATCCCAGCTGCGGGGCTCCCCCAGGAACCGATCCCAACCGGACACCGGGAATGTGATCCCGCTGTGGGGCTGGGGGGGGACCCACACATGGACCCCCCCCTCCATGTGCCCGCAGGCGCCGGCTCCTCCTTTAAGGCTCGGCCATTCCAAAGCCCGGTCGTAAACTGGGCTCCAAGGGCTCCCAAAGGCAGCGCAGACACAAAGGCTCCGGCTCCCCATCCATGCTCGCACCTTCCCGGGCATCCAGGGGCGTTCCCACCCCTTCCCGGTGGCACATGGAGGCTTTGGGAAGGGGGAGCTGCCCCCCTAAAGCAGCCCGCAGGATCCTATGGGATGCTTGGGATCACTGCATCCCCCCCAGTCCCACAGGGATGCAGGAGGGATCCCCAAGGCCTGGGTCCAGCAGCCCATGATTGAAGCAGGGAAACGGGGTGACAATGGGGGGGTCTCCATGAGCACAGGGCTGCTGTCAAGGTGGAGGGGGGGGGAACAGCTCCTCCTTCACCCAGCAGCACAGAGCCTGGTGTGGGGCACCCCAATGCCCACCCCCCCCACGGCTTGGGGGTCCCCCCATGGTCTCCAGCACCAAAGGCTCCTCAATCATTCCTGTTTAATTGGGATTGGGGCTGTAACGAGCTCAGTTCCAAACAGCCCCCCCCCCGTCCTCCCTGGGGGCAGCCCCACACCGGAGGCAGCGCCAAGGATGTGCTGGTGGCACTGGTGGCACTGGTGGCACTGGTGGCACCGGTCCCCGTGCCCAGGCTCGTCCTGGTCCTTGTGCAATGAGGAAAATGGAACCCAAAGCTCCCGGAGCCCTTGGGCACTTCCTGCCCCTGGCAGAGGTAGTTGTGCAAGATGGGAAGGAGCCTGCCCTGGGCCCGATTCCCACAGGGAATGGGGCTGTGGAGCAGGGAGAGCCCCCTCTGAGGCACCCGGATGGTGTGAGCAGCACCTGCGGGGGGCACAGTCGGGCCCCAGCTCTGCCCCACATCACTGGGGCGGATGGAGGATGTCACACTGTGAGTGGTGTGAGAAGGCACATCAGGGGCTCCATGCTCCCGCTCGCTGTCCATAGGGATGGATGGAATGGCACCAGGACCCCTCTTGGGGTGCAGGATGGAGCTGGGCAGGGGGGCTCACCCCTGCTTGGGGGTCAGCAGGAGCTGTTGCTCCCATTCCACCTCCACCACCTTGTACAGCTCCATGGTGGTCCGGGCGTCCTCCACCGAGGAGTGGCCGCTCTTCCCGACCTGTGGGGACAGAGAGCAAGGGGGGGGGCACATCTTGAGTCACTGCTCTGACACCAGCCCCCCAAAGCATCATGGAATGGGGGGGGATGAAGGCAGCTGAAAGCCCCGGGGACGCCTCCCATTGGAGCAGGGTGCTCCGAGCCCCGTCCAGCCTGGCCTTGAGCACAGCCAGGGATGGGGCAGCCCCAGGGTCCCCGGGGGGTACCTGGATGTCCTTGTGCAGCAGCTCCTTGGCCAGGCGCTTCAGGGACACGGTGGCGTTCTCCGGGAAGCCGCCTTTCCGGTTCAACAACGGCATCTTGGACGTGTCCCGGGTGAGGGCCTGCGGGTGGAAGTACTTGAGCGCCTTGAAGTCGTTGTAGATGGCGTGGCCCACGACGAGCTTCCCGGCGAGGATGCGCAGGATCTGCAGGAGCGGGGTGGGATCAATGCAGCTTCACGCTATGGGTGCGCTGCCGCTGCGCTCCACAGGGGTGCGCTCCACGCAATGCTATGGATGCGCTCCATACAGTGCTATGGATGCGCTGCCGCTGCCCTCCATAGGGATGCGCTCCACGCAATGCTATGGATGCGGTGCCGCTGCCCTCCACAGGGATGCGCTCCACGCAACGCTATGGATGCGCTGCCGCTGCGCTCCACAGGGATGCGCTCCACGCAATGCTATGGATGCGCTGCCGCTGCCCTCCATAGGGATGCGCTCCACGCAGTGGCTGCGGTGCTGCTGCCCTCCACAGGGATGCGCTCCACGCAATGCTATGGGTGCGCTGCCAATGCGCTCCACAGGGATGCGCTCCACGCAATGCTATGGATGCGCTCCATACAATGCTATGGGTGCGGTGCTGCCCTCCATAGGGATGCGCTCCACGCAAAGCGATGGCCGCGCTGCTGCCCCCCCCCCCCGAGCCCCGAGCCCCGAGCCCCGAGCCCCGCCGTTTCCGCACCTCTTTCCTGGCCGTCACGAACGGGACGGCGCGGGCCATGTGGTGCCGCCGGATCCCGCTCCAGCGGGTGCGGAAGTCCACGACGGGCGCCGCGGGCCGCACGTACCGGTCGTAGAGCACGGCCCCGCCGTAGCCCACGATGCTGCAGCGGGCCAGGGCGCTGCGGCGCCCGCCGGGCCCGGTCCCCACCATCTCGCAGTCGATGGCCACCACCGCCTCCGCCGCGCCGCTGGGGGGCGCTGCGGCGCCCGGGGAGCCGCTCCCGCCGGTGTCGGAGCTCGGCGAGGCGGGGGAAGGCTCCGGTTCGCGGCGCAGGCCCCGCCGCCGCTCCGCGCGCCGCCGCTGCAGGAAGCGCCGGTGCTTCCGGTTGCCTCGCGGGGCCGCGCGGGGCCGCGCCGCGGGGGCCGCGTGCACGTTGAGGATCAGGTCCGACATCGAGGGCCCGGCACCCCCCCCCCGCAGCCGGTACCGGCGGCACCGGAAGGAGGCGGGTTGACGGCGGGGCGGAAGTGACGTCCTATCGCTGCGCGGTCGACGGCGGGAACGCGGCTGGAGCGTGGCGGTGAGTGGTGCGCGGCGGCGGAGCGCGGTGGTGACGTCTCGGGTGACGTCACGGCGTTGGCGAGACCCGGGATTAGGGGGGGTGCCGGAGCTGCCCGGTGATGACGTCACGGCCACGGGAAGATGAGGGGAATGGCACGGTCTGATTACGTCACTGCCCGGTTACGTCATGGCCGCTCATGTGACGTCATGGGCCTCCCTTAGCACACAGCTGGGGAGGGGGGGATGACGCCAGAGTCCCGGGATGACATCACAGCCACATGGGTGACATCACAGCTCCATGGGGATGGACACAACCCCCGCATGACATCACAGCCACAGGGGAACCCCAGGATGACATCACCCCCCGGATGACGTCACACCACAGGATGATGTCACACCCCAAGATGACGTCACACTCCCCCCCCCACAGGGCTCCACCATGGCCGCCTCCCCCCACGGGACCCTGCAGTGGGAGCAGCAGCGAGCAGCCGACATCGTCCAGCTCCTGTCCCTGTACCGGCCCCTGCTCGACGCCTACGTTATCGTGAGTGACCCCCCCGTGTCCCCCCATACACATCCCATGTACCCCATGAACCCCCCATACACATCCCATATCCCCTCATGTCCTCCCCATACACATCCCATGTACCCCATGTGTCCCTGTATCCCTCCATACACATCCCATATCCCCACATACACATCCCATACCCCTCCCATATCCCCCCATACAAATCCCATATCCCCCCATACACATCCCATATCCCCCCATACACATCCCATATCCCCCCATACACATCCCATATCCCCTCATATCCATCCCATATCCCTCCATACCCCACAGGATTTCTTCACCGAGGGGCTGTGGGCGCAGCTCCCCCCCCCGTGGCAAACAGCGCTGGGCTCCGCAGCCCCCCCCCACCTCGCCCACCTCCTGGGGGGCCCGGAGCCGGGGGGCCCGGGGCCGCTCTGGCCCCTCTCCCTCTTGGCCTTCGCCGCCGCCTCTCGGGCCCTCTCCTTCCCGCGGGGCCCCCCCGGCACCGCCCCGCGCCCCCCCTGCCACAGCCGCCGCCTGCACCCCCTGCTCCGCCGCCACGTCAAGCCCAAGAAGCAGCACGAGATCCAGCGCCTGGGCAAGGTGGGACCCCCCCCCCCAAACCTGCACCGTGACCCCCCCAAACCCCCCCCCTCAACCTCCATCACCCTCCTGTGCCCACAGCTCCTGCAGCGCCTCAGCCAGGCCACCGGCTGCACACACGTGGTGGACGTGGGAGCGGGGCAGGTAGGACCAAAGTGGGGGGGGGGGGGCTCCATTGTGTCCCCATTGTCTGAGTGTGCCCCCCCCACCATCCCCAGGGCCACCTCTCCCGGTTCCTGGCCTTCGGCCTCGGCCTCTCGGTGACGGCGGTGGAAGGCGACGGCCGCTTGGCCACTGCCGCCGAGCGCTTCGACCGGGAGCTGCTGCGGGAGCTGCACAAAACAGGGGGGGCCTCCCCCCACCCCCGGCACCGCCGCCCCCCGCTCACCCCACGGGGTCCCCAGCACATCCCAGGCCGCTTGGACCCGGCGCTGCCATGGGGGGAGTTCCTGTTACCCCCGGACCCCCCCGCTCCCGCTGCCCGCAACCCCTTGGGGGGCCCGGGGGGGGCTGCGGATGGGGCCCGGGTGCTGGTAACGGGGCTCCACGCCTGCGGGGACCTGAGCCCGGCGCTGCTGCGGCACTTTGCCCGCAGCCCCTCGGTGGCCGCAGTGGCCTCCGTTGGCTGCTGCTACATGAAGCTCTCGACGCCCCCCGGGTACCCGCTCAGCGCCTGGGTCTCGGCCTTACCGGGCCATGAGCTCTCGTACCGGGCCCGGGAAGGCGCCTGCCATGCCCTGGAGCAGTACCGGGGCCGCCTGGCGGGGGGGGGCAGCCCCTGCCTAAGGGCTCATTGCTACCGGGCTGTGCTCGAGACCCTCATCCGGGGGGCCCGGCCCGGCCTCCGGCGCCCGGGGGTGCAGACGGTGAAGAAGGCGCATGCCCTCAGCTTCCCGCAGTGAGTATGGGGGGGACCCCCTGGGGGTGCTCCCCAGTGGGGTTTAGGGGGGGACGACGACACTAGTAAGGGCACCCAGTGTGTTTGGGGTGGGGGGGACACTAATAAGGGTCCCCTGTGAGGTTTGGGGGGGACACACACTAGTAAGGGCACCCAGTGTGTTTGGGGCGGGGGGGACACTAATAAGGGTCCCCAGTGAGGTTTGGGGGGGGACACACACTAGCAAGGGTACCCAGGGAGTTTGAGGTGGGGGGACACTAATAAGGTCCCAGTGAGGTTTGGGGGGGAGCCTCATTAATGTCCCCCAGTGACGTTGGCTTGTGGGGGGCAGCCCCTCAGTGAGTTTGGGGTTGGAGGGACCCCCTTCAATCCATTCCCCCCCCCTCATTGTGTGTGTCATGTCCATCCCCCCCCCAGATACGCCCGCCTGGGGCTGCCCCGCGTGGGGCTGGATCCCGCCTCCATCCCGCTGGATTCGGATGCCATCGGGACCATGCTGCAGCAGCAGCACAAGGTCGTGGCCTTCTTCAGCCTCACGTTGCTGCTGGCGCCGCTGGTGGAGTCCCTCATCCTCCTGGACCGGCTGCTCTACCTGCGTGAGGGCGGTGGGTGCCGGGGGCTGGCACCGGGAGGGGGATGCGGTGACAGCGACACCGGTGCCATCACTGAGCACCCCCCCCCCCGTGTCCCCACAGGCTTCCACTGCGCCCTCATGCCCCTCTTTGACCCCCGCTTCTCCCCCCGGAACCTGGTGCTCGTGGCTGCTCGCTGCCCCCTGGGCACGGTGCTGGCGGGGCTGGAGGAGGAGGAGAGCAGCGAGGATGAAGCTGAGTCCCCCCCGGCGCAATAAACCCCTCATGGGGCAGAGTGAGAGGTCTTTATTGCTTGGGGGGGGTCCAGTGCCCCCCAGTTAATACCAGTAGGATTTCTTAGCCCTGCGCGTCTCCACTATGTCCATTGCATCCATGATCTCCTCCTCGAAGGTCTTCAGGGATGGCACGTACGTCTTGCGCATCGCATCCTCCACCGACGTGTCCTTTGGGCCGTCTGCGTGCAAAGGGACAGCGTTGACCCCCCCCATGCTCCCTGTATGTGTGTGTGTGTGTGTGTGTGTGTGTGTGTGTGTCCTGTCCCCCCCCCGTCTCGTTGTCCCCACGCACCGATCCACTGCTCGGGGACGATGCCATCGCGGCGCGGCTGCAGCGGCACGGGGATGATGCGGCCGCTGCGCAGGGACACGCGGACGCGCTCGCCCTCCTCTGTGTATCGCCACTGCACCTCCGTGGGCTTCCTGGCACCAAAGAGCAGCCTCAATACAAGGGGGGGGTCACAACAGCATCCCCCCCACCATCACCACCACCAGTGCCCGTTACCGGTCCTCGGGGTCCACCAGTGTGATCTGGTTGAGCAGCAGCGGTGCCTCACTCGCAATGTAGGTGCCGGCGACGTAGCGGTAGTGCTGCCATAGGGATGGTGATGGGGGGGTCACCACCAGCACCCCCAGTCTGTGCCCCCCCATCCCCAAGCACCCAGCTCTATCCTCACCGTGTTCAGCCCCTCCACCACCACCCAGTTGCGGGCGCGCACGACCTGGGTGACCATTGCCTGCTTCCCCGCGTCCTTCCCGCTCAGCACCTGCACCTGCGGCAAGGGGAGAACCAGGGGTCAATGGGCACGGCCCCGTTACCGGGCATGGGGAAGGGGAAGGGGGGGGTGGCTCTCACCGTGTCCCCCTGGAACACCTTCCACTCCTCGCTGTCGATGGGCTCCACCATCACCCTGCGGCGCCGCTTTCCCGGTGGGTTCCGGCGCTGCGCGGCCGCTGTGTCCGGGGGCCACGTCCCGTGCCGGTAACCGGAGTGGAGCCGAGCCGCTGCCAGCACGGCCGAGAGGCGCATGGCTGAGGGGAGGGGGGGCGGTGGTAACGGTGAGACCCCCCCATAGGGCACACGGACACCCTCATGCGTGCTGTGACACACGGGGGGGCCACCCGGAGTCCCACATAGATGCCCCCCCCCAAAAAAGGCACCCCCGGGTCCCTCTGAACGTGGAGACCCCCCCATAGGACCCCCTACAGAGCCTCCAGTGCCAACGGGACCCCCATAGGTCCCCGGTGCCCCCCGCCCTCACCTCCGGCTCCAGCGCCCTCCGGCCCACGAGTGGGGGGGCGTGGCCTGGCGGGGTGCACGCCGGGACGCGTAGTCCCGCCGAGGGCGCAGGCAGCGCCGGCGCGATGCGTGCTGGGAGTTGTAGTCCTTCACACGCACGCTCCACGCCTGCGCGGTGCATTGCGGAGGCGGCGCGGTGCACGCTGGGAGTTATAGTCCTTCGTCTGCCCCGCGCTGGGAGTTGCAGTCCTTCACCCACGCCGCGTCTGCGTAGTGCATTGCGGGAGTAGCGCGGTGCATGCTGGGAGTTGTAGTCCACCCATCACCACCACCCCCTCCCCGCACCGGTGTCTGCGGCCGGGCCTGGGCCCTCTCTGGAGGCCCCGCTCCATCACCGCCTCCCCGCGGGGCTCCACACGCGAGGCCGGGGCTCCACCGCGGCCTGCGCGCTGCCGGCGAGGGCCTCTCGGGGGCCGCTGGGAGCTGTAGTCCCGGCCGCGGCTCCATTTTCTCCTCCGCCCGCGGGGAGCGGCGCAAAGGAGGCGCGAGGCCCGGCGGAAGCGCTTTAAAAAGGCAGGAATCGCTTTTATTCGCCCGGAGCCGCTCAGCCCCCGGGGCTCGCTGCGGGAAGCATGCACCGGGTGCGGGCCCCACGCCCGCCTCTCGCCTCCTTCCTTCCTCTCGCTCGGCTCCTGGGCTCCTTTTCCTCTGGCCACGACGAGCAGCACCCAACGGAGCCCAATGGGGCCGGGCCCGACCCCGCTACAGACTGCAATGGAGACACAGACACAGGGCAGCGATCAGGGTGTGCCGGCGCCATTGCTGCCAATGGAGCCCAATGAGACCCCACTATGGGCTGCAATGGGGACACAGACACAGGGCAGTGCTCAGGGCACGCCAGCTCCATTGCTCCCAATGGGACCCTGCTGTGGGCTGCAATGGAGACACAGACACAGGGCAGCACTCAGGGTGTGCCGGCTCCATCGCTCCCAATGGGATCCCACTATGGGCTGCAATGGGGACACAGACACAGGGCAGTGCTCAGGGTGTGCCGGCTCCATCACTCCCAATGGTACCCCGCTATGGGCTGCAACGGGGACACAGACACAGGGCAGTGCTCAGGGCTCCCAATGGAGCCCCTGGGTGCGCTCTCACCTCTCCTCGTGGTCTCTGAGCTCCTCCGTGCCCATCCCCGTGGCCTCCGGCGCGGCCCCGGCGCTGTTCTTGTCCCCATCGCCCGCGTTCGCCTTCACCACCTCCTCCTCCTCGGGGGGCTCCTCGTTGGCTTTGGGGCCCTCCTGCCCCTCCGCTTCCTTGGGGCGCTTGGGGGAGTTCTGGGCACAGAGAAGCGAGGCTCAGCCCAGCCTGGACCCCCGGTGTCCCCCTTCCCATCGCTCCGGTGCCATTCCCAGTGTCCCCCCCTTCCCATCGCTCCGGTCCCATTCCCAGTGTCCCCCCCTTCCCATCGCTCCGGTCCCATTCCCAGTGTCCCCCCCTTCCCATCGCTCCGGTCCCATTCCCAGTGTCCCCCCCTTCCCATCGCTCCGGTGCCATTCCCAGTGTCCCCCCCTTCCCATCGCTCCGGTGCCATTCCCAGTGTCCCCCCCTTCCCATCGCTCCGGTGCCATTCCCAGTGTCCCCCCTTCCACCGGCATTCCCAGTGTCCCCCCCTTCCCATCGCTCCGGTGCCATTCCCAGTGTCCCCCCCTTCCCATCGCTCCGGTGCCATTCCCAGTGTCCCCCCTTCCCATCGCTCCGGTGCCATTCCCAGTGTCCCCCCTTCCCATCGCTCCGGTGCCATTCCCAGTGTCCCCCCCTTCCCATCGCTCCGGTGCCATTCCCAGTGTCCCCCCCTTCCCATCGCTCCGGTGCCATTCCCAGTGTCCCCCCCTTCCCATCGCTCCGGTGCCATTCCCAGTGTCCCCCCCTTCCCATTGCTCCGGTCCCATTCCCAGTGTCCCCCCCTTCCCATCGCTCCGGTCCCATTCCCAGTGTCCCCCTTCCATCGCTCCGGTGCCATTCCCAGTGTCCCCCCTTCCCATCGCTCCGGTGCCATTCCCAGTGTCCCCCCTTCCCATCGCTCCGGTGCCATTCCCAGTGTCCCCCCCTTCCCATCGCTCCGGTGCCATTCCCAGTGTCCCCCCCTTCCCATCGCTCCGGTGCCATTCCCAGTGTCCCCCCCTTCCCATCGCTCCGGTGCCATTCCCAGTGTCCCCCCGTTCCCATCGCTCCGGTCCCATTCCCAGTGTCCCCGTCCTACCTGGGCAGCGTCGTCGGCCCGGCGCTTGGCACCGGCGCGCTCCCGGGCCTGCTCGTCGATCACCAACTGCCCCTCGTCGTCGCTGCTGCCCTCGGCGCTGCCTTTCTTGGCCCCATCGCCCTCCGGCTCCTGCGCGCCCGCCTCGGAGCAGGTCTGCTTCTGGGTGGGCTGCAGGGAACGGCATTGGGATGGCATAGGGGTTGTATGGGGATTGTATGGGGATTGTAATAGGGATTGTATGGGGATTGTATAGGGATTGCAATGGGGATTGTATGGGGATTGTATAGGGATTGCATGGGGATTGCATGGGGATTGTATAGGGATTGCATAGGGAATTGTATAGGGAATGGTATAGGGAATTGCATGGGGATTTTATAGGGATTGTATGGGGATTGCATGGGGATTGCATGGGGAATTGTATAGCGATTGTATAGGGATTGTATAGGGAATTGCATAGCGATTGTATAGGAATTGCATAGGGATTGTATAGGGATATTCTGGGATTAGGATGCAAGGGCTAGGGAAAATATAGGGAATGGTATAGGGAATTGTATAGGGATTGCATAGGGAATTGTATAGGGATTGTATGGGGATTGCATGGGGATTGCATAGGGAATTGTATAGCAATTGTATAGGGAATTGTATAGGGATTGCATAGGGAATGGTATAGGGAATCACATAGGGAATTGTATAGGAAATTACATAGGGAAACACATAGGGAATTGTATAGGGAAACGCGTAGGGAATCACATAGGGAATTGCAGAGGGATCACATAGGGAATCACCCAGGGAATCCCCCAGGGAATCCCATAGGAATGCCACACACGGAAGGGCCCTCCAGGCACCACTGACCTGGTATCCGGAGGCTTTCACTGTGGGGTTGTTCTCGATCTCCCAGAGGCCCTCGCTGAAGCCTTTCCTCTTGTTGGGCTTCCCAAACTTCTCCTTGCACTCCTCATAGGGGAAGAGGTCTTTGGGCCCCAGGAATGCCCTGCTCGGGGTGCAGGGAGCAGTCAGGATGGATCCCGCCTCACCCCATGCCCACAGGGAAGCGCTGTCCCCCCGCCGGCCCCACTCACGTCTCGTGGGTCCCGAAGAAGAACACTTGGTATTTGTTGGAGGAGGATTTGACTGCAGCTTCCGGCATCTCGTCGATCTGCGGGATGCAGGGATGGGGATGAGCACCGGGAGCACCTGGGTACCGCATCCACCCGCAGCAGCATCCTTTGGGAATCACGGGTACCGCATCCACCCGCAGCAGCATCCTTTGGGAATCACGGGTACCGCATCCACCCGCAGCAGCATCCTTTGGGAATCACGGGTACCACATCCACCCGCAGCAGCATCCTTTGGGAATCACGGGTACCGCATCCACCCGCAGCAGCATCCTTTGGGAATCACGGGTACCGCTTCCAACCAGGTTTTGGGTGGGTGTGCAGCAGCATCCTTGGGATCACGGGTACCGCATCCACCCGCAGCAGCATCCTTTGGGAATCATGGGTACCACATCCAACCGCAGCAGCATCCTTTGGGAATCACGGGTACCGCATCCACCCGCAGCAGCATCCTTTGGGAATCACCCTTCTCCCACCCCATGACCGGCCGCTCTAAGCTCAGGTGGGTCCAGGTAGGAGCTGGTGCTTCCATTGGGATGGGAGGGGATAAAGAGGAGGTTTTGGGGCTCTCAGTGCTGGGACCCCCCCTCCAACCCCGATGCTGCCGTGACCCCGATGCTGCCGTGATCCCGATGCTGCCGTGATCCCGATGCTGCCGTGATCCCAATGCTGCCGTGACCCCAATGCTGCTGTGATCCCGATGATGCCGTGACCCCGATGCTGCCGTGACCCCGATGCTGCCGGGCGCCGCTTCCCTGGACACGAATATTCCCGAGGTGCCAAATGGGAATAGAAGGAAAGCGACTCCGGTGGCTTTAAATAGCAGCTAAAAATAACCCCCCACACACCCCCCTGGCTCCAGGAGCCAGCAATTCCCAAGGGAAGCCTGCAAGGAGCCAAGCAGGCCCTTGGGGTGCTGGGTCCCATTCACCCCCAGTGACCCCACTCCCCTGCATCCCAAACCAGCCCATGGGATGCTCCAAGGCCTGAGCCAACTGAGGGTTTCATTCCCAGGGCTGGGAATACCGCCCGGCTCATCCCCTGCCATGCAGGGCTGATGGATGCTGCTGTCCCAAGGGGCTGCAGGCATCGGGAATGGGCTGCTCGCATTCCCTGCTCCCAGAGAGCTGGACCAGGATGCGCCTCCGCTGCCATCCCCCCTGCCCAAATGCAGTTGGGAGCATCCCTCTTCCTGGCTCCAAGGGGGTGATTTGGGATCATGCCCTATCCAGCCCCCATCATGGCAGCACCATCCTGCCCCAAAGCTTCCTCTGTCCCCTCCAAATGCATGGAGGCGTTCCGGGGGCAGGGATGAGCGGAGCGGGGATGCTCTCACCCTCACGCTGCCTTCACACAGGTCATTCCCAGGATGATGCAGCGATGGCTCCCGCATCTCAGCTGGGAACACGGCCCCAACCCCCCCCACTGTGCTGGTTCCAACCCCATTCCCTAAGGAGCACCGCTGAGGACACGGTTGGGGTCAAAGGGACCTTTTCCAACCGGGAGCATCCCCATCCGGACACAGGGCACCAGGACCCATCCATGGCCATGGTTGTGCCTGGGGCCCACAGATGGGCCCCGATGAGCAGGGCCCCAACACCCAACCCTTATCCCTGTACCCCTGCACCTCCCATGGGGCTCTATCAGCAGGGCCAGGCGGGTGGTGCCCCACTGGGGCCCACGATAGCACCCATGGGTGCTGGGGGGGGGGCACAAACAGCCTTGGCCCATCCCATCGCAGGGTAAAGCGCCCCCAGTGCTGTCCCCATCCCATTGTGTCTGTCCCCCCCCCGGCACTGGGGAGCACTGGGAGCAAGCGGCTCCGGAGCGCGCCCGGGCACGAGCCCCACTTGGACTCTGCCCCCAACCTCTGCCCCTGCCCTTTGTGACTGGTCCATGGGGCAGGAGCGGGCAAAGGGAGCTCCATGGATGCCAAGGGCAGCGCTGGGAGCAGCCCCCCCCCGCCCCACCTCAATTTCCCCCCATAGGGAATGGGATTCATTGCTATGGGGTGAGGGGGCTGGGGTGAGCCCATGCGGCCCCATTGCACCCATGGGGCTGCTCCCAGCTCCCGCAAACCCCAGCCACAACTTCCCTGGATTCAGTCCCAAAGGGGATCCAACCCAGCCATAGGGAGCCCCCCCCTCAATGCCTGGCGATGGGAATCCAATCCCTGCTGTGATCCCCCTCATCCCAGTGGGTTCTGGTGCATGGATGAGGGCTGGGATGCGAGGAAGAGGATGGAGGCGCGGGTGCAGGGCAGCTCCTGTGCGTGCCTCAGTTTCCCCATTGAACTGAAGGGGTGAAGGGGGGGTAACACGGAGCCACCCCCATAAACCCGACCCCCCCAGGGTGCTTCCAGCTTCCCTTTGCCACTCCTGCTCCTTCCCTCGCCATTGCAGCCACACCTGGCCGGGAGCAGCCACCCCAGCGCGTTTCATCACAGCACCCCATTAGTCACGGGGTTAGTCACCGGAGGGAGGGTTGACCTGGGGGGGGGGGGGTTCAGCCCCCCACATCCCCCTTTACCCCCCCCATATCCCTCATGGAAAACCTGTTCCATGATGGAGGAGCCCTGCGGTTCCCAACCCCCCCCCCTCCGCGGCCTCCCCGCCAGGGCCCTGCAAACCAAACAGAAGCTGTTCAAAGCCAGGAGGTGGGGGGGAGGGAATGGCTGGGAATGGCTGGGAATGGTCGGGAATGGTCGGGAATGGCTGGGAATGGCTGGGAATGAGCTGGGAATGAGCTGGGAATGGTCGGGAATGGTTGGGAATGGTCGGGAATGGTCGGGAATGGCTGGGAATGGCTGGGAATGGTTGGGAATGGCTGGGAATGGTCGGGAATGGCTGGGAATGGCTGGGAATGGTCGGGAATGGTTGGGAATGGTTGGGAATGGTCGGGAACGGCTGGGAATGGTCGGGAACGGCTGGGAATGGTCGGGAATGGCGGGGAATGGTTGGGAATGGTCGGGAATGGTGGGGAATGGCTGGGAATGGTCGGGAATGGTCAGGAATGGTCAGGAATGGCTGGGAATGGTCGGGAATGGCCGGGAATGGCTGGGAATGGTCGGGAATGGCTGGGAATGGTTGGGAATGGCTGGGAATGGCTGGGAATGGTCGGGAATGGTCGGGAATGGCTGGGAATGGTCGGGAATGGCTGGGAATGGCTGGGAATGGTTGGGAATGGCTGGGAATGGTCGGGAATGGCTGGGAATGGCTGGGAATGGTTGGGAATGGTCGGGAATGGTCAGGAATGGCTGGGAATGGTCAGGAATGGCTGGGAATGGCTGGGAATGGTCGGGAATGGTCGGGAATGGTCAGGAATGGCTGGGAATGGCTGGGAATGGCTGGGAATGGCTGGGAATGGCTGGGAATGGTCGGGAATGGCTGGGAATGGCTGGGAATGGCTGGGAATGTCGGGAATGGTGGCGAGGGGATTCCTCTCCACTCCGCGTTGAATCGGGAAGGAGGGGGTTGAGCGGCCCAGTTTGCAACAAGGCCGGGAAGTAGTGGGGGGGGAACCAACATTCCATGGATTCAGCTGCACCGGGAAGTGCTCCATAGAACCCCAACCGCATCCCAAGGCCTGGAGCTTCCCACCGGGATCAAGCTGGATGCATCCCGCTCTGCGCTGCCCCCCCCGCACAGGGAGCTTTGGGGTCCCCAGCGATGCGCACTGACCCCCCCCATCCCATCCATCCATAATGGGCTTGGGAATGCCCCCCAATGGGGCTGGGGGCCTGGTACATGGGGGGGGGGGGCACCTGCCTCGACACCCCCACGTGTGGGTGCTCCCCCCCCCCCAAACTCCGTCCCAACTCTTCCATAACATCCATTATCCACAGCCCAACTCCCGGCCCCCCATGGCCCCGCGCCGATGGGAAGGCCACGGGGGTCACAATAGGACGATATTTGAGGGGGGGGGGATTTTCCCATAGGAACCCAATGGGGGGGGGTCCCCCATTCCCACCCGTCCCCTCCACACCCCCCAAAAGAGAAGGCGAAGAAACGGCACAAAAAGGCCCCGGGACGCGGTTCCCGGTGCCCCAAACCCCATTAAAATACCCACAAACCGTTCCCCCCCCCCCGCGGCCTTACATAAGGCACCGGTAAAGTTGGATCCAAGCGGGAGTCCCGCGTGTGTCCATGTCCGTGTCCCTCCCCCCCCCATTCCCGGTTCACCGGTCGCGTTATGCAACGGGGAGCACCGGGAAAAGAGGAGATGGGCGGGGGGGGAAGGATGAAACCGGGTCCCATCGGTGCCGTGTCCCCCCCCCTTTTCCTCGTTGCTTACCCGGGCGGGCCAGTGCGGGTACCCCTTCATCTTGGCAAAGACCAGGTCCCCGCATTTGTATTCCTTCTGCCGGTTGGACCGGGACATCTTGGCTGCCGCTGCTCCCGGTGCGGCGGAGGGGAAGGGGGGGAAAAGGGGAGGGGGGAAAGGGGAAAAAGGGGAAGGGGGGGTTCAAAGGCGAACTTTAGGACGCGAACCCCTAAAGCGGGAGGGATCCGCACGGCGTGGGGGGGGTGGGGGGGGAAGGAGAAGGAGGAGGAAGAGGAGGAGGAGGAAGGGACCCGGCGCTTCCTCCTGGCCCCCGGTGCGGCGGGGCCCGATCCCGATCCCGAGCCCTATGGGGGGGGGGCAGCCCCGGGGTTAGAGGCGGCGCGGAGCGGGTCCGCGCCCCATGCGCTTGTTTGGGTTTGAATTCCCTGCGCCCTCCCCCTCCTCCGCCTCCTCCCGGTGGATGCGCTCGGAGGCTCCGCAGCGCTGCCTGGGCCCGGCCCACGCGGGAGGGGAAAATGGAGCCGATGGCAACGGATGGGGAGCGGGGGGGGGGGGGTACGGACACGGGAGGGGGGGGAGAAAGGGGTGGAAGGAGAGGAAATACGGGAGGAACCAGTGGGAAAGTGGGGAAAACCAGTGTGGATCCGTGAGAAACTGGTGTAAATCCATGTGGAACCAGTGTGGATCCATGAGAAACTGGTGTAAATCCATGTGGAACCAGTGTGGATCCATGAGGAACCAATGTAAATCCATGTGGAACCAGTGTAAATCCATGTAGAACCAGTGTAAAACTGTAAAACCAGTGTAAATCCATGTAAAACCAGTGTAAATCGATGTGGAACCAGTGTAAAACTGTAAAACCAGTGTAAATCCATGTAAACCAGTGTAAAACTGTAAAACCAGTGTAAACCAATGTGGAACCAGTGTAAAACTGTAAAACCAGTGTAAATCCAAGTAAAACCAGTGTAAATCCATGTAAAACCAGTGTAAATCGATGTGGAACCAGTGTAAAACTGTAAAACCAGTGTAAATCCATGTAAAACCAGTGTAAAACTGTAAAACCAGTGTAAATCCATGTAAAACCAGTGTAAAACTGTAAAACCAGTGTAAATCCATGTAAAACCAGTGTAAAACTATGTAAAACCAGTGTAAACCCATGTGGAAGCAGCGTTACACTGTGCAAAACCAGTGCAACATTGTGTAAAGCTGGGTAACGGCAGGCTAAGGGGAGGGTAACAGCAGGGTAACAGTGTGTTAATATGTTACACTGTTAAACCAGTGTGAAACCAGTATAAAGCCAGTGTAAAACCAGCATAAAGCCAGTGTAAAACCAGTGTGAAACTAGTATAAAACCAATGTGAACCCAGTGTGAAAGCACCTAACACCGTGAAATCCGTTGTAACCCCCCAAACCCCAGTGTCACCCCCTTGTGAACCCAACCCGGGCCAAGCCGCCGCCATTCCCGACATTCCCCATGGGAGCAGGGGGGGGCGAGAAGGACGGGATCCTGGAATGGGGGGGGATGGAGGGAGCTTAAAGCCCCCAGGCCCTCGGGGTCCGGGCTCAGCTCCCGTTTCCACCCCATAGGAGGAGGTTGAAGGGCTCCGGTCTCAGGGCACGGACCCGCACAGCCGCCGTATCCCGGGAATCCCAACCCCGATCCATGGGAAAGCCGCTCCCGCCCCATGCGTGCGGCTGGGAAGGGGCAGGGCCTCGCCGTGACACAGCACCGCTCCGCCGCCCGCTTGGCGATGGACTGAGCGGCCTGGCAGCGGGGAGCGCCGGGAGCTGGAGTGCGGCCCTGGCCGAGGAGCCCCCGAGGCCCGCTTAGGCCGCGCTCCGCCGCGGGGCCTGCCAGGCCTCACTAGGCCCAGCTTAGGCCTCGGCCTTGCGCCCGGCTCCGCGGGGCTTCCCCTCCCCGTTCCCCGCCAAGTCACGGCCCGGCCCTGCGGGCCCGGCCCACGGGGCACGCCGGGAGTGGAGGGAGGGGGGGTGTCCCGCTCGGACTACAGCTCCCATGGTGCCCCGCGGCAGGGCCGCGCTGCGAGGGTGGTGAGGCCCCGCGCGCAGTGCACGCTGGGAGTTGTAGTCCCGCCGCGCCGGGGCGCGGACCCTGCCGGCAGCCATTATCTGGGAGCGCTCCGCCGGGCGTTGGGGCCGCTCCGCCGCTGGTCCGAGCCCGCGGCCCCGCCGCGCTGGGCCCGCTATGGCCGCGTAGCCTCGGCCGCAGCCTCCCCTTCCTGCCCACTGTGCTCGAGGAAGGCGCGGGCGGCGGCGCGGCCTAGCTCGGAGGGCGGATCCTCGGCCTCGCGTAGCGGCGGCTGCCCGCGGAGGGCCGCCCTCCTCGGGGGGGGCCATGTCCCTGGTGGCCTATGCTAGCAGCGAAGAGGAGAGCGATGCGGAGGAGCCCGCGGGCGATGAGGAGGAAGCGGCCGCTCCTGCTCCTCCTCCCGCCGCAGCCCAGCAGGCCCCGGCCCGGGGCCTCTTCGCTTCTCTGCCTCCCCCCAAGGCCCCCGCGGGGCCGCCGCCGCCTCCCTTCCCTATGGGCCCCCCGCCCGGCCTGAGGGGCTTCGGCACCGGGCCCGAGCCGGGGGGGAGCGGGGGGGAGCAGCAGCCGCGGCTCGGGGGGCTCCTCCTGCCCCCCCCCAGGAACGCGGCCACCCCCGAGGCCCCGAACGTGGCCGCTCCGAGCGCGGCCGGGCCCGATTTGAGCCTCCCCAAGGGCAAGAAGAGGACGGAGCCGGTGCGGATCCCGGTGCCGGAGCTGCCCGGGGCTGATGTGAGTACGAGCGGCTCCGTCCCGCCCGGGCGTTTGCATGGGGGGGAGCAGCGGCTCCTTCCTCCGCTTCCCCCCTCTCCCCAGCACAAGGGGCTCCATAGGAGGAAGGAGCCCGGTGAGGGAGCTGGGGCTGCCCCATCCCTGGCAGTGCTCAAGGCCCGGTTGGACACAGGGGCTTGGAGCATCCTGCTCCAGTTTAAGGGGTCCCTGCCCTATGGCAGGGGTTGGAGCTGGAGGAGCTTTAAGGTCCCTTCCACTCAACCCATCCCTGCTGATGCAGGAGGGCACGCGAGGCCGTTGTGGCATCTCCAGGGGGATTTGCCCTGGCTGCCGGCCCTAATCCTGAAGAGCTCTGCAGAATTAACCTGATGGAGAAACCCTCTTTAGAGCCCTAACGGAGCAACCCCAGCCCGGCTTCCCCCTGCAGGAGCTGATGGTGCGGGTGCATCCCCTTCAAGTCCCTTCTGCTCTTTGCTCCCGAGCCGTAGCTGCTCCTGCCTGGTGCTTCTGGCCCTGCGGACCTTCAGGTGTCTGCTCCCCTCTTTGCTTGCCCTCACAGAGCCTTAGAGTGCTCCTGAGCCATAAATCCATGATGGGAGCAGGGAAAAGCAGGTCCCCGGCCCCCTTAGTGAGCGCCTTCCCCTCTCCCCTTCCCTGGGCCTGGCCTCCGATGCTCCCGATGGGGCAGGAGCTGCTCCTGGGTCTCTCTCACAGCAGGAACCAAGGAGGGGTTTAGCTCCCTGCCCTGCCCTGGGTGCATCGGCAGAGCTGGACCGCATCCCCCCGGGGTGATGCTAAACCCGGAGCCGCATCGCTGGGCTCTTTGCCTCTGCTGTTTGGGTGCCTCCCGTTGTGCTGAGCTCTCTTTCTCTTTCTCAGTCAGATTCCGAGGAAGATGAACCAAGCAAGAAGAAAAATCCTCTGCAGGTAAAGCCCTGGAATAGGAGGCATTTGGCTTGGGACAGAGCTTGGGCTTCCACTGGTCCCAATGAGCCCCTTTAGCACGGGGCTTTGAGCGGTTAAAATCCCTTTGCTCTCCTCAGGGATTGCCCCTTTTGGGGGGCACTTTCATCCCTTTCAGCCTCCACAAGCCAGGGGTTGAGGGGGGGGAACCTGGCACCTGCTTGCAAAGGGCACTTCTAAGCCTGGTGTGTCCAAAGCAGCAATGGGGAAGCCCTTGGTGCAGGGGCAGAGGAGGGGATGAGCAGCAGAGCTCCTGGGTCTCACTCCTTCCTCTTCTCTCTCCTCTTTGGGTACCCTTCGCCCTGCCTGGACCCCTGCAGAGCCGCGGCGAGGGCTCGGGTTTGTCGGCGCTGCTTCCCCAACCCAAGAACCTGAGCGTGAAGGAGAGCAACCGCTTGCTTTTACCCTACTCCGTGTCGAGGCGAGCGGGTGAGAGCCCCTCTGACTGCAAAGCGAAGGCGCCCGCCTCGTCCTCCAAAGCCAAACCTCCCTCCAAGCCAGCAGTGCCCACGACTCCTTCTCCCTCGGCTATCAAAGCCGCTGCCAAGAGCGCGGCGCTGCAGGTAACCAAACAGATCACGCAGGAAGAGGAGGACAGCGACGAGGAGCTCGAGCCAGAGAACTACTTCTCCTTGTCTGACAGGAGCGAGCCCGGCGCGGTGGGTGCCGACACCTACCTGTACTCTGGCCCTGGGGTGCCCGAGGAACCCCCCCCCGGCACGGAGCCAGAGCCCCACTTCCAGGACGCTGCTGCCAACGCGCCTCTGGAGTTCAAGACGGGCGCAGGCTCCAGTGGGGCTCAGCACAGTTGGGTGCCCAAGCCTGGGGAGGATTACAGCAGCCAAGCCTATGGCCAGTTCCCTGCCTATGGCGAGCCTGGGGCCTATTATCAGGTGAGTCCTGCTCTGGGAAGCCTGCTTGGATGGGATGGGGCTGAGGTGGTTCTGGGAGCAACCTGCGGCTTGTGGGGATGGCACCTGCAAGAGCAGGGGCACAGGGAGCAGAGATCCCCGGTGTTAACACATCAGGGGCTGGGTTGGGGTGGAAAGGACCTCAAGCTCCTCCAGCTCCAGCCCTTGCCATGGGCAGGGACCCTTCCACTGGAGCAGGGTGTTCCAAGCCCCTTCCACTGGAGCAGGATGCTCCGAGCCCCTTCCCCTGGAGCAGGATGCTCCGAGCCCCTTCCACTGGAGCAGGATGCTCCGAGCCCCTTCCACTGGAGCAGGTGTGTTACTGGAGCAGGATGCTCCGAGCCCCTTCCCCTGGAGCAGGATGCTCCAAGCCCCTTCCACTGGAGCAGGATGCTCCGAGCCCCTTCCACTGGAGCAGGGTGTTCCGAGCCCCTTCCCCTGGAGCAGGATGCTCCGAGCCCCTTCCCCTGGAGCAGGATGCTCCGAGCCCCTTCCACTGGAGCAGGATGCTCTGAGCCCCATCCAATGTGGCCTTGAGCACTGCCAGGGATGGGGCACTTCCCACTGTGTGTAACGCACTCTGCTCCCCAGCAGCTGATCGGGTGAGGGCTGGATTCCATGCTCCATCCCAGGACCTCGGTGTGGGGATGCTCCAGGCTCATCTCCCAACCTGCTTTTCCTTCTGCTGACAGGATTACTACAGCAGTGGCTACTACCAGGAGGTGGAACCGGTGCAGGCGGCAGCACAGGAGATGAGCAACGACTCCTCCTTCATCGATGATGAAGCGGTTGGCACTTCCCTCCCTGCCCTGCTGCAGGGCTGCTCCAAGCCCCTTCCACTGTATGGGGCACAGGACCCCACCAGCACCCCCTGTGCTCCGTGCTCAGTTGTTCCATGGGGTCTAGCACAGGGTGGTGGCCTCCCTGCAGGCCCTTGGGCTGCTGCTTCAGTGGGTCCATGTGTGATGTCCCTCAGGGATGTTTGCTCCCAGAGCCCCGTCCCCTCCTCATGAGGGGGTGAAGCTGTTCCCTGAGCCACCCTCAGGGTACCTTCATGGTGCATCCTCCAGTGCAGGGGTGAATTAAACCCCTCAAACCCCTCTGTTTCAACCACCTTTCCCCACTGTTGATCCCATGCAGAAGCTGCCAGGGTCATAAACTGAGCCTGATGGAGGAGTCCCCCCTCTCCAAGGGACCTCTGCCCTTTAGAGGTGTTTTTGTGCTGGGGGAGGCAATGTGCTGGCAGCAAAACCTCAGGCACCTCCCTAGGGCTTAAACTGAGCGACCCAGGAGGCTGAGGTGGTGGTGAGGAGGTGCTGGTTTCTCTTGTGCATGGGGCAGTGAGGTTCCAGCCTTCCTGCTGCGAGCTTTAGGGCTGGGGCAAAGCAGAGCTCCCCTTGCTAAGAGGGGAGCTGTTGGGTTGGGGGGGGGCTCGTGGCATGCTCAGGGGCTCAGCCCCCGTCCCCCTCGCCTTGCTCCAGTGCTGCTGTAACCCCGGTGCCTTCTCTGGTTCCAGTTCAAGCGGCTGCAGGGCAAGAGGAACCGAGGGCGGGAGGAGATCAACTTTGTGGATATCAAAGGTGATGATCAGCTCAGCGGAGCCCAGCAGTGGCTCACCAAGTCCTTGACGGAGGAGAAGACCATGAAGTCCTTCAGCAAGGTACAGGCACCCTGGGAGCTGCATTGGCTGCAGTCACCAGCATGGGGGAGGACAGGGACCCTTGGGTGTTCTATAGAGGATTCCACAAGGTACAGGCACAGTGGGAGCTGCATTGGCTGCAGTCACCAGCATGGGGGAGGACAGGGACCCTTGGGTGTTCTATAGAGGATTCCACATCAGAGCTGCTCAAAACATGGGGTGCAGGAGGTAAAAACCAGCCAGGAGCTGCTCCAGCTGAAGGAATCTGCCCAGAGCCCTGGAATAGGAAACAAAGCAGAGTCCTAGGCTCTGAGGTTGGGAGCATCCTCAAGGATCACCTGGTCCATCCCCTCTTGGCTAAAGCACGGTCTAGCCAAGGCAGCCCGGCTGAGCCTTCAAAGGATCCAGGGATGGGGAATCTGCCTCTTCCCTGGGGATGTGGTCCCAAGGGCTGATTGTTCCCATGGTGACAGCATCCTCATGTCCAGCCTCCTCTTGCCCTGGCTTTGTGCTTGTGTTCTGCTCTCTGGGTCGGGATCATTGCAGCCTTTAACAGTTCCCTTCCTTTTGCTTCCTAGAAAAAAGGAGACCAGCCCACGGGGCAGCAGAGGAGGAAGCACCAGATCACGTACCTGATCCATCAGGTGAGTGGCAGCAGCACCCTCATGGCAGCAGCACCCTCATGGCAGCAGCACCCTCATGGCAGCAGCACCCTCATGGCAGCAGCACCTCGACCCTGAGGGTGTCCCAGCCCTGAGCTCCTGCCTGGCTTTGGCTTTGATTCACTCCCCCCCAGCCCCAGTGTGTCTGGGGGCTCTTTGCTGCCTGTCCTCCTTCCACCCCATTGCCCTGTGCTTCGGGAGCAGCTCCTGATGCTGTCCCCTCCAGAAGCCATGTTTCAGCTTGACCAAGCTGCCTGTGCATCCCTATGGATTCCGGCCTCTGGCATGGGGATGCTGTGAGCTCCTGGGAGGATGCTGCTGCCTGAAGTGCCCGGGCACCCCCAGCAAAGGATGGGGGGTGCAGGTCTGGGAGCTGCTGACTCAGCAGTGCTCATCTCCATCCTCTCCTGTCCCGCAGGCCAAGGAGCGAGAGCTGGAGCTCAAGAACACTTGGTCTGAAAACAAGCTCAGCAGGCGCCAGACCCAGGCCAAATACGGATTCTGACTCCTGTGCCCTGCTCCATGGCTGTGTCCCAGGGGACCTCCGGTGTTGGACTGCTCCTGGGCAGCACCCAGGCCCTCCCCTCGGCCATGAGAAGGGTTTCATGCGGCTGGGCCTGAGCCTCCACCCACAACCGTTCCCCTCCCTCCTTAAGACCATGGAAGGGTCAATCCAAGCCTGTTCCACCCGAGGCAGGAGCTGGGCCTGGCCCGGGGGCTGCTGCTTCCATGCAGCCTCAGGCAGGAGCCTTGTGCTGAGGCTCAATAAACTCTTCCCACTTTGCTCCTCTCCTGGACTCGCTGCGCGCTCCGAGAGGGTTCGGCCTCTTGGAAAGGCGTTTCCTTTGTGCCCCCTTTTGTGGTCCCTTTGAGCTGGGGCATCCTCGGGGCTCAGGAGCTCCCTGCTGGTGTCTGGGTCAGGGATGCTGAATCCCTGCTCCTGTTCTGGCCTCCAGGTGTGGAGGGGGAGCTCCGTTTGCAGCTCAGAGCTGGGTTCAGCCCTGCTGTGAGCGCAGGGGGGATCCCGAGGTGCTTTCGGGTTAGGATGCTCCGTGTGTGTCTGTGCATTTCCTGTCCCCCCCCTTCCTCCTGCCCAGACCCCTCCCTGCAGCCCAATCCCGGTGGCCTCCCTGTTGCTAAAGGGGCCGGAGCTGTTGCCCTCCCGTTCCCACCATGGGTTTCAGTGTTGTAAAGCAGCTTCTCTTTGTTGTTGGATTTAGGACTCCCAAAGGGGGGGGGGGGTCTCCCCTGTTTCCTGTTCAAAGCAACCCTGAGTGAAACCTTTCCTTAGAGCGCTTTAAAGGACACCCCCCCCCCGTTCCCGGGTGACTTCCTGGGATGTTTTAGTGCTTTGGGAGCCCCTTTGGAGCGGTGGATGAGCAGAATCCAGCCACTGGTGAGTAATTTATTGCTCTCTCCCCTGTAGAAGCCCCAGGCCTCCAGCGAGAGATTTGATAAAGGAATAAACTTTGCAATGAACTCAGTCACATCCGTGTGCGGCCCTTGGCGCTCGGCTCCGTGCTCCAGGTATCCCGGATCCCTTCTCCCTTCCCATGGGAAGCCTGAAGCCCCTGGTTTGGGAGCAGCCTTGGTTTCCCCTCCAAGCAGACGCTGCTGCACAGCCAGGGGTGAAACTCGGCCAAGGGCAGGGGCGCTGGGGTTTGCTCACCCGTGATGGGCATTCCCGACCCTCGGCATTCCCGACCTTCGGCGTTCCCGACCCCCGGCGTTCCCGCTTGGATCGCAGTGATGGCAGCACCGGGGCTGGAGCTCTGCTCCCAAACCCTTCGAAGCCCTTTTGCTGTTCCTATTCCCAGTGCAGTGGCTCCCGTTCAGCGCTAGAGGGGAGCTGGGATAAAGGCTCTGGAGCTCTCCTGCCTCCAAAGGCTTCCTTTGGCACTGAAGGAGCCCCTGAGGGTGCTTGTCCGGAACCTCCCTCCCACCCCAGCACAAACCCCGAGCCCCCCCATGCACGCAGGGGCTGGGGGTCCATGGCTGGAGCCGATGGGATGGGGGGGGCTGCGCCTCGGCTGCCTGCAAGGGGCAGGATGGAGCTGCAGGAGCCTTGGGTGATGGGACCCATCCTGGCCCCGGGTGCAGAGCGGGGTGAGCCCAGCACCATCAGCTCCATCCCATGGGCGCTTCCCAGGGCAGGGCTTTCCCACCCTGGGTGATTCCGTGATCCCACGGCAGCCGCGATTCCCTCCTGGTGCTGCCTGCTCCGGAGTCAGCCCCACACTGGCGCAAGGTGTCTGAGAACAGGGATTAGAGCTGGGAATGGCTCCTCCATTGCACCGGGACAGGGATGGGGATGGAGCCGGTGCCCTCCCGCATCCCCAGCTCTCTCCACCTTAAGAGCCCCACGTCCCTCCCTGCAGCCTCGCACCCACTTCCCCTGTGGCAGCCGCCAGCCGGTTTCCTGTTCTCAATCCTTGTTTGGGGACAGCAGCTGCAGAACGGACCCGGCTGCTCCAGACATCCGGAATTGCCCCTGCAAGGCCTTTTCCAGCAGAGAGCTTCTCTTGGGATCCACAGCCAGATCCTGCCTCCATCCATCACTCTATCCCTCTATTCGTCCCTCCCTCCTCCATCCATCCATCCATCCATCCCTCTATCCTTCTATCCATCCCTCCCTCCATCCCTCCCTCCCTCCATCCATCCCTCTATCCCTCCATCCATCCATCCATCCATCCATCCATCCCTCCATCCATCCATCCCTCCATCCATCCCTCCATCCCTCCCTCCATCCCTCCCTCCCTCCCTCCATCCATCCCTCCCTCCATCCATCCCTCTATCCCTCCATCCATCCCTCTATTCCTCCCTCCATCCCTCCCTCCATCCATCCCTCTATCCATCCATCCATCCCTTCATTCATTTCTCTATCCCTCCATCCCTCCATTCACCCCTATATCCATCCATCATCCCTCCCTCCCTCCCTCCCTCCCTCCATGGGGCTGCCCCACGGCCGGACCCTCCCCTCTGCTCAGCCCTAGAGCGAGACCAGGGGGGGACCGTGCGCTCCCGGCCCCGTGCTCCGGGGGGGGTGACCCCGGTTCCGTCACCTCGCACCGCACCGGGGGCTCCACCGGCGCCGGCCGCATCCCTGCCCCGCGGCCCTGGGTGCTGCTGCCCCGGCGGGGACCCCGGAGCTGCCGAGCCCTTCCCCGCTTCCCGGCCCATCCCGTCGGGGGGGGGGGGGCGGTGTTTGCCCTCCTCTATTTCCCAAACAAGCGCTGGCCGCGGCCCGCGGTTTTCAGGCTAAATATTTGGTGTGCGGCAGCGACAACAACGCGGGGCCGGCCCTGCCCCATAGCGCGCCCCATAGGGGACAGCGGCCGGACACGGAGCGGCAGCGCCCGGAGCAGGACGGCGCCGGGGTCCCGGCGGGGATGGGGACCAGGGTGAGGGGCTCCCTGCGGATGGGGCTGATGCTGCTGCTCCTCGGACCCCTCCCGCTGCCCCCCGTGCGGGCGCCGTCCGAAAGTAAGTGCTGGGATGGGGGGGGCTGTGGATGGGGGGGGGTGCAAGGCTCTTTGGGTGCTTCCTGACTCAGTTTCCCTCCCCGTGTGCCCTGAATCCCCCCTTCAGGAGGAGGAGAATGGGGGACACCCCCCCCCCCATCCATTTGTTGGGATGGGAAGAAAGGAGCGTGCTGGGAGGTTTGGCTGGAGCTGGGAGCTGGAATAGGGGGAAGGAGCCATGGGCAGCGCTGTCAATGGGGGTGAATGGAAAAGGGAAGTGGGGGGCTCCTGTGGCTCCTATGGGCATGGTGGGGAGCGCCTGGGGTCAGGGTCTGTCCTGCACCCCTGTCCCCGCTGCACCCACAGAGGGTCCCTGCGCACCCATGAGGTCCCATCACTGGGATCTCAGCGCTCAGCACCAGGGTCCGGGCTGGGGATGCTGCAGCCGGGAAGTGCGGGATGCTCCTGCGATATTCCCATTCTTTGGGTGGGAAAGCCCCGCGATGGCAAAACCAGTGGGGGGGGGAGGGGGTACTGGGAATGCTGGAGCAGGACCTGCATCACCACACATCAATGGGGGGGTTGGGGGGGGAAGATGCCGTGAGCTCCCCATGGAGCATCCTGACCCCCGCGGGGCGCAGGGCCGTGGTGTGGGGCTGACAGGAGGCGAGACAAGAGCCAGCCCTCGTTAGCATCACCCCTGAGCCGCCTGTCACAGCCGCTCCTGTCCCTCCACAACCATCACAGCGGCGGCATCAACACCCCGTGCGTGGTGATGCTGGGGGGCAGCCGCCCCATCCCCATTGCCCACAGCATCCCCCCCCCCTTCTCCTTGTCACCACCGCAGTCTGCGGCAGCATGGACATCCGCAACGACGTCTCCCAGCTCCAGAAGCTGGAGAACTGCTCCATCATCGAGGGCAACCTGCAGATCCTGCTCATGTTCACCACGGGCGCCGAGGACTTCCGCGGCCTCAGCTTCCCCCGCCTGCTCATGATCACCGAGTACCTGCTCCTGTTCCGCGTGTACGGGCTCGAAAGCCTCCGGGATCTCTTCCCCAACCTCTCCGTCATCCGCGGCACCAACCTCTTCTTCAGCTACGCCCTGGTCATCTTCGAGATGCCGCACCTGCGGGACGTGGGGCTGCACAGCCTGGGCCACATCCTGCGCGGCTCCGTGCGCATCGAGCGCAACCAGGAGCTCTGCCACCTCTCCACCATCGACTGGGGGCTGCTGCTGCCGCCCGACGCCGGGGACAACCCCTACATCGTGGGGAACAAACCGGCCGCGGAGTGCGCCGATGTCTGCCCGGGCATCCTGGACGTGGAGAAGCCGTGCGCGCAGACCAGCGTCAACGGGCGGCTCGAGTACCGCTGCTGGACCTCCGCTTACTGCCAGAAGGGTGGGTACCGGCGGGGCCCGGCGCGGCCATGGGGCCGCTGGGCGCTGGGGAGGGCGGGCGGGCGGGCGGGGGTAACCGGATCCGAGCTGTAGCATCCCCGCTGCCGCTGTCCCGGTGCGAGGTCACCGGGGCCCCTCCCGGGCTCGTTTGCTGTAAACAGGAGGCAGGGCAGGGGGTGTGTACAGTAAACACGGATCCTTATCGGGGCTGCGGCAGCGCCACCGCCAGCGCGGCCGGGCACCACCACCTGCATCACAGCCACAGCCACAGCTTCCCTTCCCTTCCCTTCCCTTCCCTTCCCTTCCCTTCCCTTCCCTTCCCTTCCCTTCCCTTCCCTTCCCTTCCCTTCCCTTCCCTTCCCTTCCCTTCCCTTCCCTTCCCTTCATTTCCCCTTCCCTTCATTTCCCCTTCCCTTCCCTTCCCTTCCCTTCCCTTCCCTTGCCATGCCTTTCCTTCCCTCTCCTCTCTTTTCCTTCCTTTCCTTCCTTTCCTTCCCCTTCCCCTTACCTTCCCTTCCACTTCCCTTCCTTCCCCTTCCCCTTACCTTCCCTTCCACTTCCCTTCCTTTTCCTTCCTTCCCCTCCCCTTCCCCTTCCCTTCCCCTTACCGTCCCCTTCCCTTCCACTTCCCTTCCCTTCCTTTCCCTTCCCTTCCCTTCCTTTCCCTTCCCTTCCCTTTCCCCTTCCCCTTACCGTCCCCTTACCTTCCCTTCCACTTCCCTTCTCTCCCCTCCCCTTC